GTCAGTTTGGCATATTCTAGATGGGTTTTTTTTTCTTCTTCCAAAGACAACCCTAAATCTGTGACAACAAACTCGACTCAGCTGGTAGTTTCAAGCTATGTCACTCCCGGCAGTTGACTAGACTGTCGGTTGTTTCTCAAAGACAAGCGTCCTTACAGATCTGATAGGTCCAGAAGTTGTTCTTGTTCCCGCTGCAGCCGCCATAAATGAAATGTACACACGTAGATACATTTGCGTTGAAGTAGTAGCGGTCCACTTCGGCCTGGCAAGGTCCTGGGTCTGGTTTCAGAAGGCAGTAGTCGGCTAAAATTAAAAGTTGAAATGTTGGGTTAGCTTTTCGATAAGTACATAAGTTCAGGAGTTAGAGAAGAATAGTGCAGGGAGGGCTTCGGGTGATGGATGGGATATGTCGAGGTGGGTCTCGATTACGATATAAAGACGTGTGCTTTTTCTTCTTCTCTTCCGCCTTGTACCTCATCAAAGTGTCGGGGGGAGATGTGATGTTCGTTGATGAGCTCTGTCAAGAGCACTATTAAGACTGATGTTTATTTCTGTAACACTGTTCTTAATGCCATCACTCCATATTTTCCGAGGTCTTCCACTCGCTCTATACCCGTTGTAACGTTTTAGTGTGGCTTGCTGTGGCAAATAGTACCAGGGCATTCTTGTTAGGTGCCCAAACCACTTCATTTGTTGTTCTTTGATGACCTGTAAGACTGGCTTCATTCCTAGCATTGTCTGATTTCTTGATTTCGTATTCTGTCTTTCCTTGAAATTCCTGCAGCTTTTCTAAGGTATTTCATCTCTGTTGTCACAATTTTACGTTCATTGGAGAATGTTAGTGTCCACGTTTGGCATTGATAGCATAGTGTTGGCCAAAAAATAGTTTTGATAAGATTCACTTTAGTACTCCGAGGTATCTGCTTGTGTGTCAAAGACGTGTGCAAGCGGGGCTAAAATGATGTTGCGTGGAGAAGAAGAAATGGTGGGGGGGGGGGGGAGTGAGCAGTAAAGGACTCTTTTCCACGTCATCTGGCATTTAGGTCTAGACCCATATTTTTTAAACCAATCGGCAATTGATGGGTGATGTAATCAACATCACATAGTCCGAGAAGGGAGCAGTAGAAGAACAGAAAATAGTAGCAGGCAGGTTTACGAGGTAGGCGTCTGAGAAGAAGCGATGTTAACATCGATTTTGCTGAAATCCAACGCTGTTAGTGTAAACGACTTTTTGTATGCGAGCGGGTCTTGCTAATCACACACCGTCCGCCATGAGCGGTGACTCCAACGAATCCATGTTTCACAATATAACACTGTAACTTGCTAAAAAAAAAACTTCGGTTGAGCTGCGGGAGATGAGCAAACGATTTGAGAATTTGTTAACAGTTGGTTGATGGTCTGTAAGGAACAGTCCAAAAAAAAATTGGAATAGTAAAAAAAAAGTAAAGGTCCCTCTTCCACGCCTTCTGGCATATATGGTATATAGGGCTAGATCTATATTTTTATAGACAAATCGGCACAAGTTAGCGATGTGTTCAGCATCACACCGGTCATCTTTACTTACCGGGACGGCACCGGGTAACCACTCAAGCCTGGGTTTACCTGAGTGTCATGGTCATTTTTGAAAAAGTCCAGCTCCGCCAGGAAGCGAACCCACGACCTTCCTATCCGCACGCGAGCGTCTAGCCGCGGCGCCACGGCACCTCCCAAGATTGAATAGAGCAGAAATAAAAATAAGATGTCAGGTTTCTCAGAAAACCAGACAAGTAAGTAAAGACGCGAAAACAGATCTTTTCCTGAAACCGATGCTATTTTGATGAAGGCTACTAATTGCGATCCATCAGCAGTTACTAACCCACAACACCAGCTGTTTTTAAAACACACATGGCTTTGTTGTCTGTATCTTGTAAAGTTGTTATTGGCATCTTTCCGTCTTTCCGGACGATAGAATTGTTATATTATATTATCACAATCGACGTCACTGCACATTAGGCATTCCCGTGTGTGGAATTCCCTTCGATGCATCAGCCACTCTAAAGGACTTCTACTAATTGTTCCCATCAGAAGCTGGTTATATTGTATTCTATCTCGAAGACGGCATAGACGTGCTTCACCATGCTTCACTTCCATGTCACGCAGTCGTGTTAGTGTCAAAGATTCATCATTATACACTAGCCCAGTCCGTACAGCGTTGAGGATATTTGCTCTGTCCATGCTTTTTCCCACAATCCTTATTGCAGTGCATGCCAGTTGGTCCGCTCGCTCATTTCCCTTTACGCCCGCATGACCAAGTGTGTAGATCCAGGTGAGGGAGGTTAAGAGCTATTTTCATATGCTTTCTACCCATTCAGAGCGCATACCGCCTGTTGCTATCTTCTGAAGCATATTCATTGAGTCTGATACAATTACTGCCCGTGTGGTGGTTTGCTCGGATACCCATGCTAATTCTCTAGAAGCAGCAGCTATTTCCATGGTCATGCTTGACGTGGTTGTCTGGTAAGCACCGCTGTCATGTATTGTTTTCCCCCTTCTTTGCGCTGTGTATGCCCATGCTGATCTTAATCCGCGCTTCACAGATCCATCTGTGTAGATGATATCTTCTGGGTCTGAATACTGATCTATCAGTTCCCTTACTTCTATGTCTACGGCCGCAGAAATTTGAATCCTGGAGTACCTTCCGAGTGTGATCATAACCTTAGAGGTGCCATGCATTTCTACTAGTGTATTCATCCATTCTTTTTCCGTGACTGATCACGTCTAGGTCACATACCTGCTAGATTACCAGCCGTGGCCATCCTTTTGAGACGCGTTCCTTTTGTGTCGTGAATAGCTTTGTGCAGTTGGTGGTTCACGTCTGGCGATACCTTCATGTACGCCTTGACCTGTGCGATACTATTGTATCGTCTTGTAGGGAAGCTTGATAATCACAGTTCCTGACTTTGGCTAATGTGTCTAGCAAGACCCGTTCGAGGAAATTCCTCCACAGTTATAACATGGGATTTCGGCCCACTATTGCCGTCGCGTTCATTTAACGTGCTTCTTTTTAGACGCCCACCTACTTACATAATTATCTTAAGTGATTTTATCCTTTATCTCGAATTCCTTTCTGGTTTCCGCCGTACATAAAAAAAATACTATATAAAATATATTGAAAGTGCGTTTATTTTTTGTTTATCAAAATATACTACTTTTGTCGTTAAGCGGCGTAGGAAGGAGCAATGAGCGATCCATTGCACACTGGATATTATCATGATGTGACGGCGTAAAGTGCCTTGCGTTGTGTGTATGATGTGAGCGTTGATTGAACCATGCTTTTTATTCATTTTCCTCCATAATTCTTAAGCAATTTCACCTAAACAAATGTATTCCCCACCGGCATTTGGTTAATTCCCTGCCAGTAAGTTGTTTTGAGCTGATATTTTCATTCAGGAAGCATTTACACATCTGCTTTATACAGTTCAACAAACGACAAGAGCTTAGTTTCTTATATTATGTTTCTTTCATTTAGGGTTGCATCCAAATAAAGGGTCCTTTGTAGTCTCAGTGTCTTAGCGACAGACACGTCCCTCGTCTGTTCTCAAAGACAAGCGTCCATACACATCTGATAGGTCCAGAAGGTGTTCTTGTTCCCGCTGCAGCCGCCATATATGAAATGTACACACGTAGAAAGGTTTGCGTTGAAGTAGTAGCGGTCCATTTCGGCATCGCAAGGTCCGGGGTCCGGTTTCAGAAGGCAGTAGTCAGCTAAAATACAAAAGTATAAAGGCGGATTTGTTAATTTGACATCCAGACGTTCCTTCGTGTAGGCATGCAGATATCTGGTGCGGATATAATCAAAGATACAGAAATCAGTAGGACACTTAGCAGGTACAGCATTTTACCACCCCCCCCCCCTCTCTCTCTCTCTCTCTCTCTCTCTCTCTCTCTCTCTCTCTCTCTCTCTCTCTCTCTCTCTCTCTCTCTCTCTCTCTCTCTCTTTCTCTCTCTCTCTCTCTCTCCCCCCCCCCTCCTTTTCCACATTATAAGAGCGAAGCTGAGAACGTTTGCGGCTTGTGAAAAGTGAGCTCTGTGTTGTCAGTGAAAAAAATTCTTGGCATATTTTTGCAAATGATGGCTTGGAAAGTTTTCGGAATTTCGATGGGTACATGCTACGTAAAAGCTGAGTGATGAACCTCAGCCCCCGTGCCGTTTGCTGATGATAATAAAATAAACGTTAGCCAATTCCGGTATAAAAGATGATGTTACTATACATATTCAATTATTGGTAAATTTGATTCAATAATTCACCTAATAATAACGATGATGGTCAAAGCAACATCCGCCCATCCATGTGTACAATCGCAAGGTTCATAAGTTTTTTAACGTGTATTTTATTCGGTCGCAAATCAACACAGACACAAGCAGATACCCGGGAGTACTAAAGTGAATCTTATCAGAACGATTTTTTAGGCCAACACTTGGCTATCAATGCCAAACGTGGACACTTACATCCTCCAATGAACGTAAAATTGTGACAACAGAGATGAAATGCCTTAGAAGAGCTGCAGGAGTTTCAAGGAAAGACAGAATACGAAATCATGAAATCAGACGAATGCTAGAAATAAAGCCAGTCTTACAGCTCATCAAAGAACAACAAATGAAATGGTTTGGGCACCTAACAAGAATGCCCTGGTACTATCTGCCATAGCGAGCCACACTAAAACGTTAAAACTGGTATAGAGCGAGTGGAAGACCTCGGAAAATATGGATTGATGGCATTAAGAACAGCCTTACAGAAATGAACATCAGTCCTAATAGTGCTCTTGACAGAGCTCATCAACGAACATTACATCTCCCCCCGACACTTCGATGAGGTACAAGGTGGAAGAGAAGAAAAAGAAGAAGAATTTAACACAGATGTTTATTTTATGACGAGAAAAATTTCAAAATTATTGCGAAGCTTGTGGTACTAAGCTACATATTTCTGGTCAACGAGTGGTATGACCTAGTCCCTAACACACGTTTCGAGACATTCTTGTATTGTCTGGAAGTTGTTCTTGTTTCCACTGCATCCGCCATAGACGAATTTCTCGCAGGTCGATGTGTCTGCGTCGTAATAAAAGTTATTGAAGATCGCCTCACAGGGTCCTGTGTTTGGTTTCAGTGAACAGTAGTCAGCTAAAATAGAAAGTATGGCGCACGGGTCAGTGGAAACATGTGTAACATACTTTTCAGTTGTTGGGGACCTAGGAGGTGTTTGGTGTAGCATTAGGTGAAGATAACTGGTAACCTAGACATGTAGAGATGAGCAATGCAAACCAGGCACAAATACACAAATCGCCACCAATAAACGTGTCACAAATATAACCGAACGCTACTTGCAGCTGACTAAACATGTCAACATTTGTCTACTTTCTTTTCTTTGTACAGTTGGAATAGGACTAACGGGTATTGATCTGCAATCGCAGAAGTAAAAGGAAAAATAGAAATTATAGGACAGCAGATTTAAAAACATAGAGAGGTATAGTGACCACACCAGGAGTTGAAACTGCTTCCTTGTTCTTGCAAAAGACATTTCCACATTCGAAAACGAATATTAAATCGGTGTGGGTTACTGGAGCTTTCAATTGTTATATTGTTTGTCGCGTAATCTTCTTCCTTTGTCTCTTGCGAGTGCCAGCTAATATCTTTCACTAACAAAGCACCCTATCGTATATTGAACACTTACAGTTAAACTGAAAGTATACTGTATTTGTGAGCAGTGAAATGCATCCCACATACCCGATTACGCAAAACGGCATAGTATCCCGCTGTTGTTAACGGTACGAAACTGTATATTCCTAATTAGGTGTGGCTTTTTGCTTTGATACTAGCGTTGTGTGTCGTATCTTTATGTACAGATTATATGTTTAATGCTTGTTAAATCTGTAGAATATTTGTGGCCTTGCGTTGATATAATTGGACACGGTGGGTTACATTTTTGCGGAAGACGGAGTGCTAAGCTTTAAAGCTGCATCAACAGTACACTTTCAATGTTCTGATATATATTTTTTTCATACTGCCTGTCTATCTACATTTCGGTAATCAGGCGCCGTGTGCAATTGTAATGTTGGCTACATTTTTAGAATCCCGGTCACATGACTACAAGATTAATTCGTAAACATGTTGAGGTGTCCCAATATAAATATGCTAAATGGCTATGTGTATAGCCTATACAGTTTCACGGGGTTCCGGGGATTTGTAGCTGTTGATTCTCATCCTTGAGAGGTTTATCCTACAGACTAAACCTGCAGGGGGAAACCTTGTAAAAAATCTTTTAAGAATGGCTGCAGTTGATCTCTAAAACCTGTCTGTCAGCTCACATGGATCTTCAACACGTCTTTTTTATAACCAGAAAACAAGAGTTATTAACCCTTTGGTTCGGTACTATGAATATCGCAACCATTCGGTCTTGATTCCATGATAGGTACCGTAAATCTGGGGGAAATGCGGTTTTTCTGCCTACCTCCTGGAATGAACCCGGACCACAAGGAGTTCGTCACTCGGTCACCGCGAAGTCAGGTTTAGCCAACTATGCTAGAGAGCCGGGCGTCAACACATCTTCAACACATTGTCACTCGGATTTCTGTATGTCTCCCTATTTTGGGTCGCTATCCACTCCTTGCTAGCTAACTTTCAACTGTCCTCCCCTGTAAGATTTAGAGAATTTCCATGTCTGGTAATGTGACCAAAATATTTGTCTCTCGTCCTAATTCTTTTATCGGCTCTATTTCGATTCCCGGTCTTTCTAGAACACTCTATATGGTTGTTTTTGTGTCTATAAAATGTTACATAATCATATTATACACAGATGTGCTTAACTTCAGTGCAACTTTCTGGCTGCTTGCTCAATATGGCGGTTTGTGCCCCATATACCAATGTTGAATGTGCACAGTATTTGTTAGTTCTCATTCACATTCACTGTTTATTTCTCTAGATAGTATTTTTTTCTCTCTCATGGTTTTTGGAAATTTGTATGGCCATTCTTACCCACCTTCTTATTTTACATGTCAGTGCTTGTGGCTTAGGCCTTGCGAACGCACTTTTATTATTATTATTTTTTTTTTTAAATTGTCACATTCCTTTCTACTGTTGGTGTTTATTACATGTTCAAGATAGATTGGAGAAACGTGTTTAGTTTTTTTTTTTTTTTTTTTGTATCTTACATCTGGCACTGGTTTCATATGTTGTGTCTTAACCATCTGTTAGTTCTTTCGGTATGATCGAGCCATCTTTATCAGTTATGTTTCATGATTAAATTTTGCTTTTAGGTGTGCGAATCGTCGACTGACTTGTTTTCTGCTAAAACGCTCTTACTGTCTTAAACTGCGTCTACGTAAGCAGTTGAAGATTGGAAGCACCCAGTTTACGAAACACAAAAACTCAATTGTGTTGAACTGAGTTAAGAACCAGCATCGTAGCACTTGGTACATTCCCATAAGTGCGTTGTCGTCTTCAGCAGCCAGCGAAGAGTTCCACTGTCAGCAGTTGATTATGTGTTTGTCTACATGTCCTCTGCATTTAGAGTGTCGAGCACTGATCATTCCTTACTGCAAACTTCAAACAAAGAATAGCTCAACATAGGGGGGGGGGGGGTGATGATACCGGGTGTATGTTGGGGGGGGGGGGATGTGATGAAACCGGGTGTGTGTTGGGGGGGCTTTACTTAAATACAAAATATAATAATCAAATATAATGTAATCAATTTTTTTTTTAAATTGCTTGTTTGGAAAATTTGTTTCTAGATATCAGCCGGAATGCAAACGTTCATATTTTCAACACCTCGAAATATGAGGAACTGGTTAAGATAATTGTTGTCTTAAGAAAGTAACTTGGCGCTCTCTTGAGGGGTATATACTCTTCAGAGTATGTCATATTTTTTAATGTAAAATAAAGGACTTTTTTCCCATGCCATCATGTCGGAACCTCTAACTCATCCTAAAACGAAGCCAATTTAGAAGGGATTTTTTGCACAAATGAATCAACATTGCATTGAAAGTTGCATGGAACTAAAAGGGATCTCGTAAAACAGCCAAGTTTATGACAAGAACTTGTCTGTCGGTGTAAATCAAAAAGTTAACACAAGAAGAAGAAGATGGAGACGAAATAAATCTAGTATGGCATAGCACACCCAGTGAGTTTCGGACATTCAGTTTTTATTTTGTTTCTTTAATTCAGTACATCACAGTAGTGATTTGTACATTTTAAATCCCCTTCACATTCCATTTTAAATCCCCTTTATCTTCCAGCAGTCTTTAAAAAAAAACGCCTCCACTTTCATTGTTACTGTCTTAGACACGTAAGAAGACATTTTTCCTCTGCCTGGAAGTTGTTTTTGTTGCCGCCACATCCACCATAGATGAACGTCTCACAAGCTGACGTGTCTGGGTTGTAGTAGTAGTGGTAGAGCAGCGCCGTACAGGCTCCAATGTCAGGCTTTAGGAGGCAGTAGTCGGCTGTGACACACAGATAAAACTATCTTTACTGCCTGTATTTAACACCTTTAGGGGAATGTTTATCTGGGTGAGGGGGGGGGGGAGGGTGCAATAATAGCAGAAGACATCGTACCGGGTAAAAGGGCACAGGGGCCGACCACCACGAAGATGGGCACATAATGTAAGTGACATCTTGGGTAGGAAAGTGCACGAGGCAGGAGAGCTGATGTCACACCGAGTTTCTTTCATGCAGACGCGTTGACTTCTATTCACGTTTTCAGTGCGAGAAAGAGAGTGCGTGTGACTAGGTTTCAGCACTTTTCTAGGGGAGTTTGTATTAGGGCAAGTTCTGCATGTTTTATAACCGTTTAAAGCGCTTGCATCCTGGAATATACAGCACGCTATGTCACCGACCGACCTTGGCCCCCCTTCACCATTTAGTAGAGTTGACGAGCCCAAAGATGTATGAAGGAAAACTGACCTAGTGTGTAAATGGGCGGAGCTGACGCAGATGGGCACGAAAACCAGAAAAGTGCCAAAATTGTTTTTACTCGATCTGTTAAAACCAAAAAACATCAACGAAACAGACATGCTTCTCAGCTGAACTAGAAACAGAAAACATGATACAGCCTACAAAGAAAATTCTCATCAACGAATTGCGGGCGTTGGAAGTATGTAAAACTGTTTTTAAAAATCGAATATCTCTAAATATAACTATAAGTGTGTGTATTAATATCGAGCTTATTCTTAGATTTTTATAAAACATGACTAATGTAGTGTTTTTCGGTGTACCGGGGCACATCAATTAAAAAAAATAAAAAAACAGGGCGTTCCCAATGAAAACATGACGCATGCTCACCCTATGATGACGAGAAGGGCATTTTTTGGACAAAGTGGTGCCTTAAGCCCGAGGAGTTGGGATAGCATAACAAGAACAATGGCTACGAACTGTGAAGGTTAAATTTTTTATTTGTGACCCTGCAGAACAAACAAACAAACAAAATCCTCATCTCTTAACATGGAAGGTAGTTCACTTAAATAAGGCTTGGCAGCAGAGATAAAGGAAGATAGAATGGTTAACAACCTCATTACATCGCACAAAGAACACACATTAGGAGCTGGTGCCTGTAAATGTCTTCTTGTTGTGAATAGAGTTAAGTCTCTTCCACAGGGCGGAAATCGAAACATGGTACTCGAGGATCATAAGTTGTGAAACGCTGTCACTAACCTTTACACCCCCAGAGCCATGGCGTTTTATTAATGGGCCCGTGTGGGTTCCTCTTCCTAGGGAAAGGACGGGGGACTGCTCCTTAATAGTAAAAGAAAAGGAAAAAAAGTAAAGGAGTTTTCTTCCGAGCCTTCGTGCGTGTCGGGCATATGGGACTTTGCCTGTATTTTGTAGAACGATCGGCACTCTTTGGGCGATGTGGTCAACATCACGCCGGCTGTTTTTACTTCGCATGACTTGAGGCTGGGTTGACTGCAAGCCAAGGTCATTTTAAAGAAAAATCCGGCTTTCTTTTGGACCTGAACCCTCGACCTTTTTGATAGACAGTTGGGTGTCTAGCCGCTACACCACGGCCGCTTTCCTGCTGCTTCATGAATATTTCGTAAATGTAAAAATTTTGAAAAAAAAAAAAACCGAAGGTGGATTGGACACGTCCTCAGAATGAAGAGAGACACAGAGAGAAAGAGAGAGAGAGAGAGATACAATGCAATGGACACCACAAGGACAGCGAGAAAGAGGCAGGCCCAGAAGCACTTGGAAGCGAACCTTTGAGGCTGAACTCGAGGCTACACGAGGGACAAAACTGGAGTTAGAGAGGGGAGCTCAGGATCGAATTGAGTGACGACAGTTTGTTTCTGCCTTATATGCCTCTGGGTGCGATAAGGATTGATTGATTGAATAAAGGCGACATATGAAGGATTTGCTGAGATGAAATGTATGGGACCGAAAGGCGCAGACCTTATAGTCTGGTTATAAACTACACCACAGCACGCCAGACAACCACCCTTTTCATGGCGAAGGCTGTAGAAGAAAAAGAAGACGACGATTTTAATGATGAAAATATAAAAGCATGTCGTAGACTTACGGGTCTGACCAAACACCTGGAATGCAAGGATTCCCAGAAGAACGACAAGGAATGTAGTTTTCATAGCTGCTGTGAACGTGCCAGTCGTAGGTTCTCACAGATCTTCAGTCGCAGTTGTTTTGTTTTCTGTAGCTGTCTTCTAGTCGCGTTTTATCTGGTGGTCGAGTTCCGGTATGGTTTACGGTCACGACAGTCTTATCGTTGTGATTTGTTGTCGGACACACATCTGTTATCATTATTTGTCTATGGTTATGAATCCTCCCTCCATCTCTCTTTCTCTCTCTCTCTCTCTCTCTCTCTCTCTCTCTCTCTCTCTCTCTCTCTCTCTTCACACACACACACACACACACACACACACACACACACATGTACATCGTCAGTCATACTCTAATGTTTGTTGTCGGACACACATCTGTTATCATTATTTGTCTATGATTATGAATCCTCCCTCCCTCCTTATCTCTCTCTCTCTCTCTCTCTCTCTCTCTCTCTCTCTCTCTCTCTCTCTCTCTCTCTCTCTCTCTCTCCATCTGTCTTACTATAATCTGTGTGGTCAAACATGTTATGTTTACTTGTCTGTGCTACATCTCTCTCTCTCTCTCTCTCTCTCTCTCTCTCTCTCTCTCTCTCTCTCTCTCTCTCAATCTCTACATCAGTCTTACTATAATCTGTGTTGTCAGACGTATTTTGTTTTTACTTCTCTGTCTCTATTTTCACACACACATATATACACGGTTAGCATTACCGTCTATTCTCTATTGTCGGATACGTCTAATATGTTCACTTATCTCTCTCTGTCTCTCTCTCTCTCTCTCTGTGTCTCTCTCCCATACACACACAGACACACACACACACACACACACACACACATGTACATCATCAGCCATACTCTAATCTTTGTTGTCAGACACATCTGTTGTGTATACTTATCTGTTCCTCTTTCTATCTCTCTTTCTCTCTATCTCTCTGTCTCTCTTTCTCTCTGCGTCTCTTTTCTCTTCGCCTCCTTTTCCACCAGCGGTACTCTATAATCCTTGTTGTTCGTCTCATATATGAAATTTAAAGTAGCTTAGTTCTTCTTCCTTTTCCTCATCGTCTTTCTCTCTCTCTCTCTCTCTCTCTCTCTCTCTCTCTCTCTCTCTCTCCCTCTCTCTCTCCCCACCCCCACCCCCCCCCCCCGCCCCGCCTCTTACTCTACCACTCCCACTAGAACAGTCTACCCCTGACACCGGATCGTGTAGTCCTTGACACATTTACTCAGGATCTCTTGCTTAACCTATTTTACTCATTAAATCCTTCAACTTTTATTCTGTCTGTTGTTTTCCTCGGAGTTTATGCTTTTTTATTAGAAAATCTGCTGTTAGTGCCGTTCATAATCGGGAGAAATGCAGACAGAAAGTGTCTTTCTTAAAGAAACCTTCTCTGTGCGTTTCTCCTGATTGTATGTTACTGCAGCTAGCATCTACCATCTTGGTTATTGTTCTGTTTCTTCGTCTTTCAGCATTTACCCATAAAGTTGGTTGGTTAGCTCTGCTGCTAGGCAGCGATATCCGCACCTTTCGACCCACCACATCCGGTTCAATACACCCCTAATTAGTAGCATTTTACGACATGCTTCATCACTATATGCTAACATTTCCATATGAATTATATCAACATAATTTGTTATTCAGCGATCTTTTGTTTACACTTAAGATGCATTACACGCTAAATGTATATGTGTGTGTGTGTGTTCCAATTCTGATTTTGAAAGCAGTGGCAAACTACTCAACGTTAAATTGCCTAGTAAAACCGAACAACCACACACACACACAATACATGTTTGGATTAGTTCTGCACCGTCCTATAAAGTACTGTAGAGCAGTGTTCTTCAACTTTTTGGCACCAGTGGCCCGGAAAACAGGGGAAGTTGTTTCGCAGACCACCTGAAAGCTAACGCCCCCCCCCCCCCCCAACTCGATAGCGGTTTAGTTTTTAAATTCAGTGTCACAAAATTGTAGTTTTTAGTTATAGCGACACCCGCTACTTCTTGTGGGGGGAAAAGGGGGGGGGGGTGGTTGAACCTGATATGCATGACTGGAGTATTTTTTTCTTCTTAGTTAGACACAACGCCCCAATAACATTCACCAGACTCTTATTTTCGTTCAATCCCACCAGGGCATCCACTAAGCGATAAACAGCCGGTCACACAAAGTGCCACCGCGCGGATGATCCAAATCCAATCCAATCCATTTGCAGAATTAAAAAAAAAAATCGATCGCGTTCAAGCATTTCAGATCCTCAGAGCATTTGCTTATATTTGCGATTTGTGTTGTGTAAAACCTGTTCTGACGTTTCCTATGGTTTCATTGGGTCTTGTTGACATCCGGCGGTGTAATTGATGGTGATTTTTCATTCTTTATCGCTCTTATATCATGTCGGTGTTGGTTTTTATTTTTAAGCAGGTAGGTATCTTCTGTACTTTCTTAGTGCATTTCAGTGTCGTTCCCGTTTATGTCAGGACAGATCTGGTGGAAATTGTTTTTGCTGTCTTCCTCTAGTACTCCAGTCCCATCCTGCCGCTGCCTTTGCGGGGGGTTTTGATTGGTTGATGCCTTTTTTCGTTGTCCCTGCTGTAATTGTGTATCTATTTGATATCATCTTGATACTTGGTGACTAGTCCTTGCAAGGACTTTTATAGGATTTTGGCTTTCTGTCCATTCTCTTATTTCTGTTTATGTCTATGTATGGTGACTTCTTTAGTGCTTGGCGTTTGGGACTTGATTGGTCTGTCTCCAATGCTAGTTTCTTTTGGTCTCTCTCTTTCTCTCTCTCTCTCTCTCTCTCTCTCTCTCTCTCTCTCTCTCTCTCTCTCTCTCTCTCTCTCTCTCTTCCTCTCTTCTTATCTCTTCTCTGAACATTTTTCCGTATTGAGCCTGCGCTTCTCGGTCTCCGTAGGTCTTGACAATATCTGGAGGAAATACCCTATTCATTTCTTCATTGAATCTTTCTTCAAATATGTACCTTTTGCTGGTGAACTCTTTTGGTGATGTTTCTTTGGGCTTGTCTTCTGTTGTCTTTCCGCTAGTTTCTTTGTCTGTTTGTCTGTGTCTTCTTTCTTCGTCCCTCTCATCTTGCTTTCTCTCCAGTTCTTGCAATGCTGCAATTCTTGCAATGCTGCAATTGTGTTGCTTCTATTTCCCTGAGGGATCCAGTATCTTTCGCATCTCCTTCATCTCTGCGAGTATTTGTCTTGCTTCCTCGTTAACTTCTATTGACCGCCAGGACACTTTCAGTGACCATTGGGTGAACTACCTTAAAGCAGACATGTCAGACACAGGGAGTTCCTGGGAACGATGCGGGTCATATTTGTGAGAAACACACACGACTAATTGGAGTCGTTTTATAAAAACTGTTTGCAGAATATTTCCTTTTGCGGACCACGGGTGTGCTTGCAAAGGACCGCATTGAGGCCTGCGGGCCGCCAGTTTGACATGCTTGCTTTGAAGGATAAGCAGCTAACTTGTTTACTATTGTTTTCCTAACCTGTTTATGCATCTGTCCGGGCTACGGTTTAAACTGGCAGATAAAGGAACAGCTTTAGAAATTGTTTTACAGTAGATGAGTTTATTGACATGACGAGTTTCCAAGCCATAAAATAGTGTATTGCTCTCTCTCTTTCTCTCTCTCTCTCTCTCTCTCTCTCTCTCTCTCTCTCTCTTTCTCTCTCATTTAATTGTTAATTATATTTATATAATGCAGCCTATTAGAGTTATAACATTTTAGGTCATGTTTACTACTATACTTTTTAGAAACGTCAGTAGTGTACGTATAATTAGAGCATATTTCAGCGTTTGTAATTAAGACTGAGATGTGAACATTTTATTATTATTATTATTATTATTATTAGTAGCTTTGAAATGATGTACGAATTATATCTGTATTCAAGGAGTGGATTAGAGGGGCAGAATGTTAGATGGACCTGCGTGCTTAGTTCTTAACTCTTTAAGTTTGTTCGCTCTTTCTCTCTCTCTCTCTGTCTGTCTGTCTGTCTCTCTCTCTCTCTCTCTCTCTCTCTCTCTATCTATGTCTCTGTCTGTTTCTCTCTCTCTCGCTCTCTCGCTCTCTCTCTCTCTCTCTCTCTCTCTCTCTCTCTCTCTCTCTCTCTTTCTTTCTCTCTTGCTTTAGATATCGTACGGTGTACGTCAGTTTTTGTCTAATGAAGGTCAGCGGCGATGCAGAGAACAAGCCATATAGGAGACAACCTTGTACAGTGAAGACCATAATTCAACTGTTCTCAACCTCCCGGTCGCGACCCCTTTTTTTTAAGGGGGGGGGGGGGGGGGGGTCGAACGACCCGTTCACAGTGGTCGCCTAAGCATATCGGAAAACACACATTCATTTAAGTTAAAAAGCAAAATAATTGTTTGTGGTTCGCCACAACATTAGGGAACTTTATTAAAGGGTCGCGGCAATCAAAAGGTATAGAGCGACTGTCATAATTTCACCCACTTGCTTGTGAACACATTTTAGACTCAATTTCTCCCCGTGTGTTCCGACCACTATTTTAAAGAGTGGGGGGGGGGGGTGTCAGATGCAGATATTGCAGCCTAATTGTAAACAATGACTGACTGACTGACTTTCTACCCCACCAAGACATCACACAAGCGATAAACACCCGATGACAAAGTGCCACCATGTGGATGAGGATCACCGTGGAGAGGTCACAGAAACCGCGTTCAGACAATTGGCCACACTTATGGCCTACTTATATTGCGGCCCCTGGCAAAGCCAGGGTGGGGCTTCAAATAAAAAATTTCGTCCTTAAAAGGACGAAACTGGATATACATAAGCACCTTACACTTTACAATGTGCCAACCGTCCTTTTAAAGGTTAGAAAGAGAAGAGAAGGATTCAGTTTTGGCTCTGAATCGTAGGAATTAAGCCATAACATTAAGTCATAAAGAAGAAAAGAATTAAGCCATAAAGAAGATAAGAATTAAGCCATAAATAAAAGAAGAATTAAGCCACAAACAAGAGAAAAATTAAGCTTTAAAGAAGAGAAGAATTAAACCATAAAGAAGAGAAAAAAAATTAAGCCATGAAGAGGAAAATAATTAAGTCACAAAGAAGAAAAACAAAACAATTCTGACAATTTAGTTAATCCTTTTTATTTGGCATGGTTGCTTTTGTGTCCCAGATAAAGCCAGCGCTCTGACATATTGTCGTACCGGGCGTCACTCCACCCTGACGCAGTAATCCAGGCATTCGTCGAGGGTTGGAAAGTTGTTTGCGTTGCCGCCACAGCCTCCCCAGGTGAAATTCTCACACTGGGAGGTTTCAGCGTTGTAGTAAATGCGGGGAACCAACGACTTGCATGGCCCTATGTCGTAGGGCTGGTTACAGTATTCAGCTGAAACAGAGAAGGTTCCTTTTTATTTCGTTCATCCATTGTTTTTACCATCTTCTTCTCCTTCTTTTTCTTCTTCTTCTTCTTTTTCTTTCTTCTTTGTATTCTACCGGCTGTGAATTCAGGCGTAAAGTCATGATTGTTCGTTCATTCTGACTTAGGGGCTTTTACCGGGAGCCGGGTTTTGCGTGTACAGCCGTTTTACTAGCTTATTTTTGAGCCGTTCATGTTCCCTGCCTCTAGGGTAGATGTACTCCGACTTCGAGGGATTCCTTTAAGTTTCAACTGGTATGTACTATAGTGGTTATACTTTTTGTTATCATCTCCTTCTTTCTGCATTTGCCTGTAAAAAGGCACTTGGATCTTTAGGTTGTGGTTTATAGCTAGGCTGTCATATATCAACCTTTTGTCCCAAAGCATCAGATTTCAGCAAATCCCTAATTTTTCTTTTAGTAGAGCAGTGGATCTATTCTTTTCTAGCCAGAAATGTAACCTCTAATTCCAATCGCATCTGTCATGGTTATAAAAAACGTGTGGCCTTCCTATGTTGAGAGAGCCGTCATGGTATAGCAGCCAGGCGCTCGCCTGCGGATCGGAAGGTCGATGGTTCGGAGCAGGACTTTTTCCCCAAAATGACCAGCCTGCCAGGTCGAGCCAGCCTTGATCACAACATCCAAGTACCGCTTGATCTATAAAATATAGGTTTAGCCCTATGTACCCAATTCGCCCGAAGGCGTGGAAATGGTCCTTTATTTTACTTTACTTCCTGTGTTGGTCCTGATACCTCGTTTGGGGGGGGGGGGGGGGGGCATATTATTACTCGATGGACCTCAAGGCGTGAAAAGGTACTCTACTTATTTACATTGGCAGGTGTTTAGAGATGGTAGAGCTGTTGATTAACAATCCTTCTTCTTCTTCTTCTTCTTCTTCTTCTTCTTCTTCTTCTTCTTCTTCTTCTTCTTCTTTTTCTTCTTCTTCTTCTTTTTCTTCTTCTTCTTCTTCTTCTTCTTTTTCTTCTTCGTTCATCGGCTGTAAGCTTCGGTGGAAATTCATGGTTGTTCGTCCATTTGAAGGAAAATCCCAGTTAGTCGACTCTTATTCTTGCTCTGGAGACCAGTATTTTTTTTCCAGATTAGAACGTAAAGGACATTTCATATGCTTTTTATTGGCACAGAAATGGAGCTTGCACGGGGTGACCCAATTGCAGTAAAGTTGAAACCTTTACTACTACTACTACTACTACTTCTACTACTACTACTACTACTACTACTACTACTACTACTACTACTACTGCTGCTGCTGCTACTACTACTACTACTTATAACTGCTACTACTGCTGCTGTTGCTACCTAGCAGGTGCCTTCTATAAAATTTGAGTTTGGCGTCATGCGCCAGTTGCGCCATCGGCATAACATAAGATTCTTCACACTTACTGTCTGTGAACGGTGAGCGCCTTAGCCACGGCTGATTTTTAACATGGTAAATAGTCCGTCGCTTTCATTACACGAAGAGCTGCTGGCCGAACGGTTACTAAAGTTGCATCTCATGCGGGAGACCCAGGTTCGAATTCTCGGTAAGATGTGAAGGTTTGTGTGTGTGGAGTTTTTGTGTGTGTGTGTGTTGTGGTAGGCGGACAGAACAAAATCTGTCTTGCACAGTCCGTGGCGACAGCAACAGCCATGCCCTAACAAGCTGAAAGATCTCCCTGTCTGCACGTGGTAAATACAGGCGGGTTGCTAATGGTGATGATAGTAGTAGTAGTAGTTTATATTAGTAGTAACATAGTTGTTGTTCGATTACATTGCTTTCTAAAGCATGGCCGCTATGTAACAGTCTGTCTAACAATAGTGAAACATGTTTACTCACGCTTTTGTCCCGACACGAACAGACAGAGAGATGCGAACAATAAAACAATGATGGCTTTCATGTCTTTGGCTGATGACGACTTTTGCTGAATGGCAATGGTTCCCTTAGCTTATCCCGTAGACACTGTTGTGCCTTGACCTTATCTCAATCATGCAGACAAGTCACTTTTTTTTTAAATGTAAACTTTATCTGTTGTCTTAGTTTTTCGACCCACTTTTTCTACATCTGTGGCTTCGGGGATTACAAACCCGGTTTATAATTCGGAAATATCATGTTCGATTCAGGTACAGGTAATTAGGCAGCAGATTGCTTTATGTTGATTTTGATAACGGTATTGAGCGCTGACGATTCAGAAGCAGTGGCAAACTACTGAACGTGAACTTACCAAATAAAACAAAGCCAACACATGCTGGGTTGTCTTGCAGTGCCCTGTAAAGGATGCTGGGGTTGGCTTGCAGTGTCCTGTATAGGATGCTGGGGTTGGCTTGCAGTGTCCTGTGAATGATGCAGGTGTTGGCTTGCAGTGTCCTGTGAATGATGCAGGTGTTGGCTTGCAGTGTCCTGTGAATGATGCAGGTGTTGGCTTGCAGTGTCCTGTGAATGATGCAGGTGTTGGCTTGCAGTGTCCTGTGAATGATGCAGGTGTTGGCTTGCAGTGTCCTGTGAATGATGCAGGTGTTGGCTTGCAGTGTCCTGTGAATGATGCAGGTGTTGGCTTGCAGTGTCCTGTGAATGATGCAGGTGTTGGCTTGCAGTGTCCTGTGAATGATGCAGGTGTTGGCTTGCAGTGTCCTGAAAGGGATGCTCAGCTAGACTGTTTTCGGAAACCATTTTGAAGTGTTAGTTTCTTCTTATAGATTATAATAATGCTTCACTGTTTGTTTATTCGAGAAAAATAAATTTGTTTATTTTTCGGCCAACATCAAGCCGTAGAGTGGAAGCTGTGTGAAACTAGTCTGAATGTGATAGTCTAGTTCAGGCGTGACCTTCTAGGAGTTACAGGAAGCGAAAACACTGTGACTGGTCTAGCGAATCGACAGTGGTTTGTTTAGTGCTCGTAGAAAATGAAGAGATCGCACGAACCGAATAGAAGCGCGTTCCATAGATCTCTTCCTGCCCTGACGCCGCGAGGCATTACAGGAGTAGAAGGGGGGGGGGGGGCAGAGATTGTCAACTTTTTGTAGGGAATGTATCTAAAGATCTTAACCCGCACAGCGTTGTCATTTTTAGTTATGGCAAGTGATAAAGAATAGAAGATTGATTACCTTTTTTTTTTTTTTTAGTAAACAAATGGGAAATCATGTTGCATGGGCTACATATGGTCTCAACAATACCGCCCAGGGTTTTAGCGATGGAGAGCTCGTAGCACAAGATAACTCTATCGTCTGGACAAACGGAAAGGTGCCAGGCAACTTCTTCTTCTTCTTCGCGTTCACTCTGTACACTCTGGCGGAAAGTTCTGGTTGATCGTCCAGTACTGAACTGCAGTCCTGCTCCAGAACCTGAGTGTTGCGTGTGCATCAATTTTACAGATCTCATTCTCTTGAATACAGACTGTTGGTTCCTTGCCTCTCCGGCAGATGCACTCCGACTTCAAAGGAAGCTCCCCAATAAGTCGACTCTTACGACATGCTTTTGGGGAGGCATTGGGTCTATTCTTGTTTTCCCCGGAACCCACGCGGGGGAGCCAGGCAACTGATTCATGTATTCGACATCATGTAGGACCGCTGTACGTCATATCGGGCTCGCAATCTAGTCTCCGTTCTGCTCTATCCTATGCACCTTTGCGATATCTTGGATGACCTCTATCCACGGCATTCGTCGTAGGGTTTCTTTTGTTCGTTCGAGGTTCCTCAATCCATTTGCTTCCTATTTTGGTGCCTGTTTGGTGCTTTTGTTTCTCCTCATTCTCCGCGTTCAGTATATTGTCATATGATTGGTTATTGCTACAATTACATTTTAGGAATATATGTGCTTTTGAGAATTTAGAAAACCACCAATGTCTGAAGAAAATAATCGTGGAGGGTGACATGCCAGATGTTTTGAAAGAGGCGAGGGCTCGAAGACAGCTAAACGCAAACATCAGAAAAAGACAGTAATTGTTTAATTTTTTTTTTTTTTTTTTTTGCTGTGAGAAGGAGGAAACTGGAACATGTTGTGGAAAGAGGAAGGCAACACGCGCAGATGCTTGACAGTCCTTTGTCAATGGCATGGAAGGGTGTCAGTACACGAACTGATAAAAGCAGGTCGCTGATTGTTTTGAGGCATGATTGCCCACGCTAGTCGGCAAGGCACTTAATGAGGATGATGATGTCTCTTGAAGCAGAAGGCTGCGCCATAGATAAGATTCAAGGTTGCTCGCGCTTTGTCGAAGAAAAAAACACAAAACATGTAATCGCCTTTAACCACCTCAAATAAATTGTGGCTGTATTTGCGATTTTTATCTGGTTTTATTTAGTCGTGATAGAGCTTCTTAAATTTTTTTTTTTGATAGTTCGGTTAAATCTATTTGATTTGGCAATTTTAAGTAAAAATGTTGCTTCTTATTTATTTATTTTTTATTCGGGTACTTCTAGTTCATGTCCATCGTGGCTTTTTACAGGGATCACTGCCAGTTGTATTGTTTTACTGATCACTTGGGCTCAGACCCGGGGCGATCTCCATTTTTAACATTGTGACCCTTGAGTAAACAGTTGAATAGCCCTGCCGGTAATACAAACGTTAGTCTCCCCATTTACACAGTGTAACACTCTAGCTGACTTCTGTGATTGGTCGACCTTGAACCACGTTACCTTTCCAGAAGGTTACGGAGGTTTCCTGCAATGCCGTTGATATTGCGTGTTGTATATTTCAGCACGCCAACGCTTTTAACACTCCAAAAACATCGACAAACTGGGTCTAACACAAAACCCCTTTAGAGAGTGATGAAACCTTTGTTACACGCATTCTCTTTCTCGGAATAAAAACGTAAATGCAAGACAACCCAGAGAACAAACAACAGAGCGGCACATCCGTAACCTGCAGGAAGGTAGACCAGCACAAACATCTTATGAATGGAACTTGACCCGCTCTGTTTGAGAAGACTTACGTTTGTATAAACGCCCTGCCATAGACTCACGATTCCTTGTGTTTCTCTT